TTCATTAAAGGACTAATATTCCCTGCTGTTTGCAGTCATTCCTGGATGGGTTGGTCATCCTCGACTTTCAAAGGGCAGCCAGGGCCACAGCTGATCAAGGCAGAATTTTAATGCAACTTATGCACACAGGTAAGTCCAAATTTTCTGCAACGTCTAAGTCAGCCAGAAAAAAACTTTGAGATAAGTCTGGTCACCTACATAGCTGATGCTAGAGAATTTCCTTACATTCCCACCTTGATAGCTGTTTTTGATCAAGAACAGTATTTTCACTTTCATGCTCATCTCTTGATAATTAAACTAATGCCGTGCTAAGCTGATGAATGCTTCCAGTTCTAGGAGTTCATTCACGTTTCCCCAAAAGGAGGTGAGAAACAATGAACCAGAACACGTTAAATTAGACTGACATTCCATTTTGGTTTAGAAATCCCCAGTAGCAGAAGCAAGGTATTCCAACAGTTAATTAACCTCACTCAAAAATTTGCAGCTTGTTTCCAGCCAAAGTTTTTCTACTGTACCTTCTGGCTACTGCAGCTCATTATTTCATTCCCGCCTAGACTAAAAAGCCCTCTATTATTACACTTCTGCTGCTCCTGTCAGCAGAGACAAACATCTACAACTTCCACTTTGATAAAAGCATTCTCCATTATACAGTGTGTTTTCCAGTCCCTTCACCATTTTCACAGCTCTTCTATAAACCCTCTCCAATTTTCAGCATTCGATCCACTACCATTTTATCAATGCAAGTCTGTTGCTGGGAAAAGCCTTCCCTTTATTTCAGCTACTCATGCATGTTCTCTCTCTTTCTGCCAATTTTAGAGTGCATGTGATGACCCTGAAAAACAAATTTGATTAGATGAAAGCTAACATGGTGTAAAATACAGGGGGAAAAAATTAAAATCTAACAATGTTCCCTCCCTTCCCCCAGTAGGAATTTGCATAGACAAGTATCACATAAACCCCATCCTGGACAGCTGCAAGAAAAAAGTAAACAGGGTCCAGAACATAAAACATCCTCTCTCTCTCCAGTAAGTTTCATGGCAAATATTGTCAGTCAAGCTCCAGAACATTAATGAAAAAGCAGTAAACTAATAATTTCTAACATCACTGTATTCAACAGCCTATTAGATTCCATGTACGTTTCATGCTCCAAAAATAGGATTCTGCAGCAATTTGTCCATGCTAACCTAATGTTGAAAGAGAGCTGGGAAGGGCATTGTATGCCTAATGATGCCTCTAATGCAATTTAAAGAAAGGGAAAACAAAATAGATGAAAGGACTACACCCTTCTTATAAAATAGTGCAGAGGTAGTGAGGAGAGATGAGATTAAGAATATTTTCCTGTTCTTTGATTTCAAGCACGAGTTGAAACTCTAGATGCCTGGCCAGACAAATCATATTCAAAGCTTGAAAAAGTTCAGCTCTCTAGAGTTAAGCAGAGATGAGTCAGAAAAAGAAAAGTTAAAGATACTTAGCTGGAGTTACAGTAGCAAGAGAAAAAACAAACAAACAAACAACAAAATTCCAAAGGAGAAATCTGAAGTACTCTTAAATTCAGCAACTTCCAACATTTCCACAATTAGTTTTAACTAGTCCTGGCCACAGCCCACTAACAACAGTCTCCTCTTCTTTTCCTCCTCGATCTCTCGCCGCCAAGGTTCCCCTTTTCCCAGCCTTTCCTTTCTTCCCATTACTACCTCTCTTCAGACAGAGTTCAATCTGATCAGCCTGCACCCATCTATAGACTAGGTGATCTTCCATCTCCGACTCCTCCACCCTCAGTCATCCTTTGGGCACATTTAGGAACGGCGTTTCCATTTACGCAGGAACATTCATCAAGGCACTTCACTGATTAACTTTTCTGAGGGCTGAATCCTAATCATCAACCACCTATTGTCCTAAATACCAAGGGGTGGTAGAGAGTCAGATGAAAATCTTCCAGCAGTGTTGCCCGAAGGAACACCCAAAAACCTACATGAACAGCTCAATTTTCAGCAATGTTAAACAGCCTAATTCTAAACCAAGGCAGCAGGTGCCATGGGAATTTAATGCCTTACAAACCTGACCACCAATATATACGAATAAACACGGATCTTAATGCTTTACACCAAGCAAAACTACAAGTGGTTGCTTGGCTCATTCCCTGCAAAGCAATCTCTTAATTTTATACTACTTTACAATCTGGCCATGAGGAAAGCCTTACAAACTCATCACATGTGATCAGCTCAGAAGCCAGCCATAATTTACAGTACATGTACTTCTCCCATAAGTTTGGAAGTAATAGTCCAGCACCAAAAGGCTTTTATCACCAGCAAAGAGACTTCAGTTAAAGCCCACCATAACAGCTGTCCACTGTCATATGTCAGGGACTTTGACCTGTCCAAACCCTCAGGTTTCTTCCAGGTGCCATCAACACAACATTTTTTTTGCACAAAAAACCCTGGATAATTCATGTAACATTGCAGTAGGTTAACATCTTCTTGAAAACTATTTCAACATAGGTGGACAAAGTGTCTTCCTGCACCTAAATTTGTGCAGAAAGAATATTTTCAGCCTCTCTGTGCAGTCATCTTAACACCAGCTTTTCTTTGCAGTACACTCCTACAATGACCTAAACCAACCAGTATGACACCACGTATCACTAAGTGGAGAGGAAAAACAAAAACAACAAAGAAAACCCCACAATTTCCCATAGTATCTACAGGAGTTATTTAAATGAAGAATCTGACTGGTTGTTAACAATTCAGTTTTACTCTCATTAATCTTTTTCTTCTATTTTAGGTCAGTTCTAATAAAAAAATCCGTCATTCTGGATAGATGGGTTTATTTCAGTCTGACTCATTTTATACTTATTTTATACTGACTCATTGGCTCCTAAATTCTGGTTACAAGGCTTCATCACTCTTGCTGCCATTCACCCCTTCTTCACAACAGTTTCAAATTGGGCTCTTCCTCTTCTCTGACCTCCTCTTCCCATCAGCAGCCCCCCGAAACTTGTAAGCCCGTATGACTCCATCCAGAGCCAAGAAGTCTCAGCACCACATTCCCAGTTCTGGCATGGCACAGGAAACTGGTATTAGCTGTGCCCAGAGTCAGCAAAGCTCACCAGCTCACATGGAAGGCACATGCTAAGTGGCACTGGTACACAAACTGGCTCCAGGCCAGAAACAGATCCACCAAATTTCCACCATCTGTTTCCCTGTGCCAAGCAGATCTTGATCCAAGTTCTTTAAACCTCGTTTCCTTGCAGGTGGTTCCCTTCTCTCTCTGTCTCGGCAAAGCTTGCAGCAACCCAGGGTCAGAAAACATTCCAGATGTCGAAATTGCAGTGTGACAAACATTTTCCATTCACAAATCAATCTCAACCAACAAATTTAAGCTGAACTGCTCACAAAAGTTAACACTCACTACCCCAGCAGGAAAACATATTCTGGGACCGAATCGTACTCCGCTACCTAGTGGTTATAGGAACAAATACTACTGCAAGTATTTTAGGGACTGGCTAAGAACAGCCTGACCAGATAAAGCAGCAGGCGCTCAGTGAGAGCCAGTTCTTGCACAACTACCCACATATGCTTCAGAGAAACACGTATTCTGGGAGGCCTGAAGAGGTACTTCACAAAAATCTTCTTTTTGCAAACTGCTCCAGCAACAGTTATGACTGAAATGAATCTAATCAAGTATGTATACCAGCAGACAGACATTTTAAAACACTAAAACAAGAATCCTCCATTTCCAGTAAGTAAATGGTCTCAGGTTAACAAATCCAGTGCTCTACACAGAGAGCGCCCTACTGAGGGAAGGATCAGTTGTTCTTCTACTTCCCTCCTTTGGGCCACATCATCTCAGAGCTTCAGAAGTGTGTCATCTGCTGAGTGACTCAGCAGTCCCCTTGCTGATGAGGACTTTTAGCAAGGAATAGCAGGCATGCCCATAAGCAGGTAGTCACTCGGAGCTGTGGAAATTCAGCGAACTACTAGGCATCTACCTCCCTCATTACTAGATAAAGCTTGTGGGGAAGCCAAACTGACCAATGCAGCACGGTTTTGTTATTCTTCCCAAAACACAAAAGTTAAAAAGCACATTAAAAACTCAGCAATACAATATCAAGGTATGAACTCCTAAAGACAGCAAGACAGTAGAATGATCACTGTCCTCATTCTTACTGTATTCTCCACATGCACTTATATAAGCATGCATGTAAATATTGATAACAGTTATCCACTGTCTCAGCCATTAAACACAAAGCTTAACATCAGGACATGCAGTGTCAGCCATTTCATGGTAACATGTAAGCTTAAGTTTTTGCATCTGTCTGTCTTGCGATGACATTTGTATATCCTACCTATTCGGGATTGGTCTGTTCTATTGAATTTGGTTAAGTGATATCATACGTACATTTCCTGCATTATCACAAATTAAAGCTTCTGAGGTCTATTCAGTAGTCAGAACAGATTAATTTTTAACCTGTGGAAATTTTGAAAACCATTTCTACTGCAAGTAGACAACGCGCAGGCAGTCTCTCCCCGGTGAGACTGTCCACTCACAGTGGAAAATACAGAGGCTTGAACTTGGGACTTGATGTGAATACTGTCTTCTATTTCTTATGGTTGAAGTGAATTTAAAGTAGTTCAGGATGCATGAAACTTTGATTTCTTAAAAGTCAAACAGTGAAACAACACCTGGTTTCAAACCAACCATCACAGCTTTCAGCAGTTTCACAAAACCACTAGAAAACTGTTCTGTCAACTTGAGGAATTAGAAATCGATTCTGAACATAGCACTTCATGTCTTCAGTACGGTTGTACGACTTAGTCATCTGCATATGGAAAGCCTGGAAGGTGAGCAGCATAACCACGGGTGTAAATGGTTACCCAAGGAACACTTAGACATCAACACAGAAGATGCACACAGACTCGTTAGCCACAAAGCACAGACAAGCCAGCAGATGAAACTAAAAATCACTCTCCTAGCATAAGCTGAGCGCAGCTTCAAGGTCTTACCCCTGCTAGGCATCAACAGGCGCTTCTTCATGTTGCCTGATAGAGCACAAGTGAACAGAAAAGAGAAAAACATCACATCAGCAACCTGAACAGCAGCAGTTTAAAAAGTTCTTAATGTTAAAACACAAACAATAAGATATCAAATGCTTCTAATTATATTTCAGATAAGCCACATATAAAGTTAAAATTAAAGGTAGAAAATGAGAAAGATTCTCCTTATCTCCCTCCCTGCTCAGAGTCACTATTAAACCAACTGTTCCTTTCCCCTGTTAAGGAGAGCTACCCTCCATGTTCTCATTCCCGTTAAGACCATTTGAATGGGCCCTTTTATCCTCATCTGAGAAAAAGACTGCATTTTCTCTTCCCTGACACTCTCAGGTAAGTGCAACTCTTCAGAACAGAGCCCTGGAGTCTGTGCCAGGAACACCCTGCATCTATCTCCCACTTCAAACACCTTCTCCTTGCCTTTTACTCTTGAGGAGATGAAGCCCAAACTCCACTGCCCAGAGGTGCTCAGTGCCAGGGCCAACAAAAGCGAACACTCTGGTTCTGTGCAAAGCAGGAGTAGGTTTATGCCTCCCTCAGCTAAGCAGCAGCCTGCCTTTCTCAATGGCATGCAGCCTCTGGTAGCTTTGCTGAAAGCCGGGTGATCCACACATTACAAAGCCAGCTGGGAACTGCACAGCTACTACCTACAGGTTAAAAAGCTGTAAACCCCAAAAGAAAAAGGAAACATCACTGAAAAAAGCTATTAAGGTTTTATTCATACTACTCATTTAAAAACTGATGGGAAGTTTCTCCTTCACTATGCCATCTGCAAGGTTGGTCAAGCTATGCAGAGTTTTACTAGCACAGCAGGTTTATGTGCATGCACCATCCAGGCAGTACACATCATGTGTCTCATCCAGAAAGAGAAATGGGACACATGACTTTTGTAAAAGGAAAAAATTAACCTCCCTTGAGAATAAGAAACTTGGAATTGATATAAAGGACTATAGGTTTAAATAATCTCCTTGTACACCAAAAGAACAGAAGAAAAAGCCTATATAGACAATATACAATTTGCATAAAAATATTTACCATCCATTCCATTGTGTTGTTCGTAACTTCGTTTTCCCAGGATAGTTGGGGATCCATTATTAATGACAGGCGTAAACTTTGCAGGAGTCAGACTGTTGAGAGAACTGGACAAGCTCTTTGCAGGATCTGGTTTCGGAGGACACGGATGAGACTCTGTTGTAAAACAGCAAGGTGGAGTTTTTTTTTAATTAGTGAAGATACTGGAATTAGAAATCTGAAAACAACCTGCAAACTTCCAAGGTGACCAAGTATACCTCCCCTTATATACAAAATTATCTCAGTCAATAATTTTGACTGAAGATTGCTATTTATATAAAGCATTTTAAGTATATTTAGAAATTCACCTCTACTGAGGATGTCAAAACCAACGTCATAATATTATCCTAAACTAAGAGCTGATAACAAAAGCACTTTGTTTCTATTTCCAAAACACTATTCTCCAACAATTTGGGATCTTTTTGGGGGTGCTCTATATTAAAAACCATCTTTGGGCCGTCATGCAACACCCCTAAACTCTGGGGAAATGACAACTCTGCCAGTTTTGCACGGTTTGTAAAAAATACCATTTCTAAACTGGCCAAACAAGCAAGGAATCAAAGCACCACCATAAAGAACACACAGGGTCTAAATTCAAACTTTTGGCCAAGGCAGAGATCAAGCACACACTGTCAACTGAAAAGAGTTTGAGAAAGTTGCAAGCAACAGCAAATGGGAGCTTTAACTGAGTTTTTCCTCTCACAGTCCCAACAGTTGAGTAACATATAACTTAAAGCACACTGAGCACACCACCTCCAAAAATACATTCTTGCCAGTCCATCAGACTCCCTCCACGTCTTTCGCTCCCTTCTCCCAGCTCAGTAGTCAAATGGAGAGCCAGATACAGCGCTAATGAAATCTCAAAATCTACTGCTACATTCTGTACAACTACTAAAAGCAGGATTTTATCCAACAGCAAAACTTCTCCCTTTATTGGCTTTTTTGGGTTGCACTATACACAGATTGAGAAACCTTTGGATATGTATCTCATTAGTATACAGAAGTACAACACTCAACAGAAAAGCAGTAAATATTTAATGAACCCTGAGCCTTACAATATTTCATCAATAAAAATGTTCAAAGAAACATAAAATCAAATCCAGTGTTTCATATCAGAGTAAAAAGGCAATCAATTTCTTCGTTAACCCGGAAGCCTTCAAAGTATCACTGTCCAAGCTAGCTTTCTGTGGTTAGACTCAAGTTAGACTGCTGTAACAACCTGAGGCATGTCTTCAGGGTATCTCTAGCGTCCGGCAACACTAGGGAAAATGATCTTGCATTCATTTGTAGTTAGAGCTGGCACGTCACATAGCATCACTTTAGATGTTTCCAGCACCTAAAACCTACGCCAAGGTCCTGGATGGAGCTACTCAGTGCTACCCCACAGACAAGCTGATGAGGCCCAAGTCCTCAAGAAAACAAAAAAACCCAACCAAGACCACCAAACTCACAAAAACCAAGAAGAAAGTAAACAATGGAACTATAGTCCCCTTGTCTAGCTCCAGCACAGAACAGCCAGCAACTGATTCACAAGATGTCGCACACAGTGCTGTCCCTAAACCCAAGAGGTTTCTTGGAGGACCCAACTGTAGGAACTGCCTCCAGACAGCCCAAAAATTGGAACAGTGGACTGACCAATTGCTCCCAAAACACTATGTTCGTGCCTCCATTAGCAGATGGTAACTTGTCCGCACATACATTGGAAGCCTCAGAAAACACATGGCTCCCTTCACTTGAAAAAGTTTCTCATACAGCTCATGAGCCCAGAGTGGACTGCGGAGCCACTAGGTCTGTCAAATTAAGTAGGAAAACAAAAAAGGACAACTTCATGGGAAGGTTTTCCAGTTTTGTTTTTTTAATCCAGAACCAGCATCTAAATCCAGAACCAAATGGAAAAAGAAACGGTTAACAGAATTAGCTAGTAAGGTCTTTTGTTTGGTTGGGGGTTTTTGTGTTTGGTGCTGTTTGTTTTTTGGGGGTTTTTTTAATACCTAAATACCGGAGTACTGCTTCTAAAGGTTTTCGAACCACTTGCTTTAATAGCAATGGGTTTTCTGATGCCTCAGGTAATCGTGCTGTGCCTGTAAAACAAAGAAAAATAATTAGAAGGTAAAGACATTGACATATTATAGCAAAATTAAATTAATAACTCAAGTGTCCTGAAAGAGCCTTCCAATTAAAAGAAATTGTACAGGTTGCAACCATGTCTTGGCAATAGGACATAAATGCAGGAGAATGCTAAATGTAACAGCAAACATGAATATTTTAAAACAAACAACTCATGAATATTCAAAGTTATTTGTCTAGCCTACAATCAGTTAGAATGCTCTGCAAGTATAGCTAGACTTTGTGAAACCACTAGCTACATGCAAGAGAGCATTCTCAAGAAGTTGCAACTCAAACTTTGTAGGAAAGGAATCTCAAAGGGCTCCTTTGCAAGTAGGTCCCAGCTGCATCACCACTCACATTCTGCTTTGATTGCTGCACTGTTAATAGGCAGATAGGGATGTCTTGCAGCATGCCAAGGGCGCAAGATATCTCGACATAAACGTCTGGCAATTCTTGTCAGTTTTGTTGTATGGAGATAGAAAGCTTGCCGTGTTTTCATAGCAAACTTGGGACTACCACTGTTTCGTACTGGCACACCATGAGGACTCTAAAAAGAAAGAAAAATAAATATGGTTTCTAGAAAATAATTATGAGACAGTATGGTTTTAAAGAAGAGAAAGAGTAGTTGAAAGTGATTTTATATGATATTGATTCACAGACATAAGAACAGAAACAGTATTACAGATGAAAGTATTTTCAGCCCAGCTATTCCCCATTTCCCAAATCTGACCCATCAACATTTGGAATTTTCTTCCAAAATACCTCAAAGATAAAATGAAGGTAAACATTTTCTCTTCACAGGGAAGCATTTACTTCTATGCTGTCCCAAGTTTTAAAGCAGGGATCCAAAAACCAGACCTGAAGACGTTACCTGATGCTATCACATGATTTAGTGCTTATAGAGTCAACAGAAAGACTGTCCAACTTTAGGTGCTTAGAGTTGCTCTGGAAATACAATGCAAACTCCTTATAACAAATCATTTGCAAGAGGGAGAGGAAAATCAGAAAGTAGCTGTATGGTTAAAATATACATCACAAACACACTTCCCAAAGCAAACTTCCAGCATGCAAGAATGTTTTTGTCTCAAAGTTGCAAGAATTTCTGTTTTAATTCTTACTCTGCACTCAATGAATGCATTTACAGAGTTGTCAAATATTCACTGCATGTGATAAAGAAAACTACTGAAAGACATTTATCAACTACAGAGAGCGAAAGCAGTGTATTCTTCATGAAAAGCAACTAAGTCAACAAATAAAATAATGAAAGTAGTATCTTGTTATCTCAAACCTGCCCGCGATTGGAAAACAGGACGAAATTTCAGTTTGGAGAGAACAAGGCTTTCCCCTCTCTGACTATTCACAGACTTTCTAATTAACAAACAAGAGGTATAAGGCTGATAAAACCTGGCAGTTATCTCAGCAATTAGGTAGCTTCAGAGGGCAAACAGAAGCCTGGAAAGGAGAGAGGCTAAACGAAAGAAATAGAATAGAAAGGGAATGATAGTAAAGACTAGGACAGAGGAAGGAAATTAATTGACCAAAGCTCAGTGAGCACTATCCTTCTGTCCATGTGATGCAGCTACTTTTTCCAATCAGCTCAATGTATGATGCTTCCAGATTTAACTGCCAAATTCAGAAAAATTCTGAGAATTTTGGTTTTTAAATAAAAGGGGAAAAATTAAACAGAAGCAGCTCATACAATGCTTACTCAAAGCTATCCAAAAGGAAGGAGGATTAATTAAAAAAAAATAGGATCAAGTAGAAAAACAAGATAAGGGATCTCTAAAAAGCCACTAGCTATTTGGGGTATCTAATTTTGAATGTGCCTTTGGAAAGGGAACAGGTTTCAGAAAATAATAAATTCCTCGATGGGAAAAAAAGTCCTCTTCCCCCTGCAGCACAAATTATGGAAACTGAGTACGAGGAACACTGGCTGGCGTTTCATTTTTTTCCATCTTCATTAAGTTACCCCATGCATTTGATGGCTCGTTTGCTAAACAAATGAGGTGGTTTTTGTTTTTTTTTCTCAGGGCAGTACTTGGTAACAAATTACTTATAGCTGAAGATAACGTGCCAACTTTTGCAAGACATGAAATACCAAACCCAAGGACAACAATGGAGGCTGAAGGCATTCTTTTTGTTGTTAAATATTTAAGAACAGTGAACAACTAAGATATCATGGCACCCAGCTTTCCAGGCAAGAGCACCGAGCAGTCTGCTTCACAAATACCTACCAAATTATTGCGGTTTGGTCCTGGTCTCTCCCCATCTAACCGTGTTGGCATTTTCAAGCCACCGTATTTCTTCCAGTACGTCCAACAGGATGCACAGAGGCGACACTGCATGTTAGGGGGACCCCAAGAATACCACTGGTAAGACTGTGTGGCTAGAGATAACAAAGGTGGAAATTATATATATCCTTACACAGGATCACTTTTCAGAGCTTATTCTCTTTAGAACCATCACAAAAGAAAACCCCCACAAAGACAGTGTAAAGCTCAAACAGACCTTAAAAAACTGACAATGGCTTCACCATCATCACCACTGTTAAATGTACTTATGATTTCAGCAGAATTAATGACAGATATAAACCCCTTTTAAAACATGAACAGAAAAAAAAACTGTAGGATGGGAAAATTTCCCACCAATGAAACCGAAAGCTCTCACTTTGCAAGACTGGTAGACAACAATTTCTGCAGAGCATGGGAGAGAGGGAACATTGTCTTCGGGAACTCCTCATACACTAATTTTATGAGTAAAGAACGTACAAAATCTGTGACTTGACTTCTTGTACATACAGTCCTATATTCCAGCATCTCTAAAGGCTCTCCATAAAGGAGCATAATCATTAGAACTCAGTATATTTATATCAGGCAGCAGACCAAATACAATGATATCACATATTTTGAAATCTACTAAGAAACTATGAAAAAATTGTCAAATTCACACCTTGACGATTTAAGTCTTTGCTCAATAGCTACCTGCAATTCCCTAGCACATTTACAAACTCCCCCTTTAGTACTTCATAATTCTATTTACAAATGTAACACCAGTAGCTTAAAAAACCCCAACTTTGCTTAAATGCTGCTATGTCAAATTCTGTCCCCAAACCCTTCCAAAGCCTTCTCTCCCACCCCCACCACAACACAGTTTTTACTTTATTGTTTGCAACACAGCACTCATGCTTTCTATGCACAACTGCCATACTGGCATGTCACTTACTATAACAGCTTTCACAGGCCCGTCCTGCTCCCGCGTTCTGTGCCTGTACTCCAGTACCATTTACCACTCCTGGCTTGACATTATTTACATTGATCTGGTTGGGGTTTGGCTTGTTACTTAAAACACAAAGCAAAAAGGAGGACAAGCATTAATTGAGGCATGCAATTTCCTACTTGACTTTCAAAAGTATGGCCCAAAGCGTTCGAGGATTTAAATTTTGTTCATCGTGTGGCTTCCAGAACAAGCTATACTTACCAGCAGTCTGACTTCCGTGAACACACTGTCTCTGATAATATTCAAATAACACTGATAATAAAAATAACTGCAATAATAGTTAGATGCTATTTTCAAGAGTCCAAAACCATTTAAAAACAATAAACCAGTGAGGCCAGACAGGTACCTTACTCACTAGCCCAGACATTCTAATCTAGGTAACAAAAAGATCTCAGCTATAGATCTCTCACAGTCCTGAACACAAGGGATGTATTACTTAAATCTCCAAAAGGAAGGCTGAGGGAAGGACCATGAATGGTAGGCAGAGAAAGGGCAACCCCTGTCTTATTCAGGGACTATAACCCTAGACTGCAGTCACAAATACTTCCATGTTGTCTTACTGCAAAGATCTGCATCATATAGCCACAATTCACACAAGCACACCCAATACATTTAAAAAAATCTTTGGACATAGAGTATACATAGAGATTTTAATGAATATGAGCCTTCCGACAAGTCTTAAACTATTGTCTGTGCTTCTAATAGAAAGCATTTAGGTTTCTACTAAATGGAAAAAGTCTGAAAGCCTAACATCTGTAGAGCAAGAAATGCACTGATGGCTGTCACTAATACATTCCAATATAACAACATCTGAATCACCTCAGCTCATCCCTATACTCTCTTAAAAATGTTGACTCAGGAGGGGAAAAAAAAAGCAGCTACTGGCAGGAGCTGAGAACGGAAGGGCAAACAAAACCTTGGCATAGAGAGCAGTATGTAATAGTACAAAATGTCTGCAGAGGAAGAGGTGTCTGAGGGGGAAAATGAGGCATTCAAAAAAATCCTTGGCATGGGAGGCAAACAAGGACAATTGGTGTTGCAGGGACAGGACTTCTGGGGAATAGAGGAAGATGGGAGAAGTCACACAAGAAGTTTCAAAGAAGAATACAGCAGGAGCTTACAAAACACACAAAGACTCTAAGGTGCTGTTAGGAGCTCAGCTTACAGAAGCAACAAAAGCCTGTAGCCTTTAGTGCCGACTTGCCCCCGTTACATTTTACCCATGTTCTCCTATGTTAAGACTGAAGAGAGTGGGCATATTCCTTTTATTTCCAACTAATAAACTCATGATTTAGAATCCACTTAGTCAAGCAGAATTATCTTAAAAAGGCCTTTATAAGATAGCTTTCCGAAAATGCAGTTTCTTACATATTAGTTGCCACTGACACAGGAGTCATGCTGATTTCAGTGACCCAGAATATTTATTACTTATCACTCTGACTAAGGCTGCAAAAACAGCATTGTGGGACTATGGCCAAATTAATTTCTTTCTAATAGGGCACCAATATTAGGTTTCACCTTCTCAGCAATGACCCCCTGAAAGCAAAGGAGTTCCAAGTGACTGAATTCTGAAGACAACTGGCCTTTGCAGCTCCAGAACAAACCCAAACGCTACTGGAAAGCTTACACTGCCCTGGAAGCAACAAGGTAATCCTTCTCCTCATTTGAAAATGTCTGATCAGACACCAAGACACAGAGCTTGGTAAAGCCCCATTTCTATAGAGACAAAATAGATTCTGCTGTGAATGACCTACAAGGACCACACACACATTGCGTAAGGAGTCAAGAGAGTATTTGCCCAGTCCAAGAAAAACTTCGGACAGCATTCTGATAGTGCTCCTCACTGTAAAGTTTCATGAGAAAGCTTAGGAGGCTAAGCAGCATAGAAATACTGTAAATAGTTTGTTCCTTCAGTACACTGAGCAGCCCATACACAACCCAAAAGAAGAAGAGAAGAGAAAAAAATAAAGGCATTTAGTTTAACAAGCCTGATTAGGTTTTCCTCTCCTTTTGCTTATTAATTTGCCTGGCTTTTACAAGGATTAAAGTGTTTCAGGGTGCTTATCAGAATGGCATGAAGTTCTGACACCACAGATGGCAGGAGATCTGCAGACATATTTAACAAAGGGAAAGGTGAAAAAAGGCACATTCATGCTATACAGCGTTTTGCTCTGGGATGTCACTATAGTAACCTGCTGCAAAAGAACTTTTGCCAATGATTCACTAGCAAACTCCATGTGCAAACATTACCAAGATGCTGTAAAACAAACAGTCCTCACAGATGCACACTGCTACAAGCAGTGCTGCTCAACAGACAGAGCAAAAAACCAAAGTAAAGAAAACTAAGCCTCCACTCCAGGTCTTATGGCTCAACATCAGGCATGTTGCTTCCCTTCTATACATTAGTTTATCCTCTGAAAAAGGCAGCAAAGGAGTCTGAAATCCATCAGTAATGCACACAAAAAGGTTTTGGTTGTTTTGAGCAGCATGCCAGGAAGCCCTGACATGTCTGGTTGTAAACAGTTAGTTGTGAACATGACTGCACGCACTGGCATGCACATCCAAAGCACTAAGATCACATGCAGAAAGGAGAGCGATGGCCTGACTCATTTCTCCTCTCTACAACCCTTATCAAACTTGTATTTCAAACGAAAGGGATGCACAGGTGAGGGCTGATCACCAAATCACACCGATTACAAAAACGCTCTAGCTATGGCAGCAACTTCACCACAGGATTTTGGAACAGTACAATTAATGTAGCTGCAACAAGAACCAGAAAGTATGCTGCTCCTAAGCTAAGGTCATGTTTCACAGGGGCAGTAACAATAAAATTTAGGCAGCTAATGTCTTCATCATATGAGAAGAAAAAGCTCTTAATTGTTGACGATATGTTAATTAAACTTGTTTGATATCATCAAAGCCTGCTACAGCTCTTAACAAGAGAGTTAGATGAATAACTGGATGAATCATCAGGCAACTAATGAAGCTGAAGTGAAAGATGCAAATAAGGTAGTGAGAATACTGATGGTGCAGTAAACTATCATCCCCAGCTCTTGCATCAAGAATGGAAATCTTTTAAACAGGTTTCATTTGTGCTGGAGCAGTCAGTTATACTAGAACAGGGATCACAAAGTGCAGATTTCTGGGCTGTATACTGCAGGAGATTAGTTTCAACTAAAGAGATTAAGGTGATAAAGCACATGGAGAAAGAAGGCACTAGAAACTAGCCATCATGGACTGAAGCCCCTGCCCAAAAAACCCAACCTGAAGATAATCCTGAGCAACGTAGAACACTGAAATCCCTTCACTACATGACTAACTAGCATTTGACCCAAAGCACAGTCATAAGATTTTAGTCATTAAAAGTAACAAACTTAACACCATCAGTGAACATTTTGTGTTATCCAGAAAACCATAGTGGTGCTAGATGCAACAGAACAATTAAGAAATAAAGCCTCAGAAATATAAATTTTTAATCCTTTGTAAGATACATTTATGCCATCTACCTCTAGGCATCTAATGCAAATGGCTGGATTCCTTATCCAGGTAAGAGAGCAGTGAAGTCTCCTCACAACTCTCCAGGCTACTGTGAATACCCACTTCTAAGAACAGATCTAACTACTGCTAAACAATGCTTCTTGAAAATGAGAAGTTTTCTCCAATAAAATGTTGAAGATTGCCATTTTAACTAGCATGGCTACAAAAGAAGGAACAGCATTACACCTTTAAGTTTTCCATGCTGCAATGGAACCTCTGCACAACTAAACAGAGATGGAAAAAAGTCTTGTTCCTCAGGCAGAGGACAACCAAGAAACAGATAGAGGAATTATCTTCAGCTTGTTAAGCAGCTGCCCCTTGTACTCATCCAAAGCTTTGACGTATTCCTCCAGTTTCCCTATTAGCTTAAAAAAAGAGGCACAGTAGGGAGAATAATATTTCCCTACTTTACAGCTGTTTGCAAGGCAGCGTTTCCAGCTTTAACATTGCTTCGAGATCCTCAGATAAAATACTGTAAGTAGAATGTATTGATTTACATTTACATATGTAACTTTAAAATTTAGTTTTTACATCAATACATTTTGGAGACTGGGGATTATATGGAGCACTTCCTTCTTCCCTTTCTGTTCTTACCTCTTCTGATATCACTTAGGTCAAATCAAAAGAGAGAAAAAGCCACACAATATTGTACATCTCAGCCTTCATGATTTGCAGATGTCCCAGTTTCCAAAAGTACCGGCTACACAACCAGACTCTCATCAAAAAAAAAGCAAGTAACTAGTACGCATGATGCCTGTAAGATCAGTAAAACCAGAATGAGTTCCATAACAGTCTAAAGAGTATGTTTGGGTACACACTAGAAGGAGAAAGAGACTGAGACTACATCTGCAAGAAGAAAGGTCTCCAAGCCCTATGTTCACATTGGGGGATGGCAGGATGAAGGGTGTAAGAAAATGGAATCTCTTTGTGCATTCAGGTTGCTGCTGCTGCTCTATTTAACACCACTACCATTGACAGAGAAATTGCTACAGAAACAACTAAAAGATTTTTTTTCAGTATTTCCTGAATGTAGAATTCAACTGATTTTATACTTTTTCCTTTCACCAGGAAAGCACATTAGTGCTTTTCAACCTAAGGGATGCATGACAAAGCCATGCATACAAACATTGGGTTCAGTCAATATCAACTACAGATGTCTGTCCCAAAACCAGGGTTGTTCTTGGACAGAGCACAGAAATGTCTGTCCAATATCTAGGACATAAATGTTTCTCCAGTATCTAAGATGTGGGTTTAGGACTTTATAACCTCCCATCAATTACCTGTATGACTCTCCATGCTTCAGTTACCCACATTATAAATTTGGGGCACAGTCTCAAGTTAAAAAATACGAACTCTAAAGCTTCATGTACAGTTGTTATTTTTCACTGTATAATATCTATGTGACATGAGAAATAACCTTCGAAGACTGCCTTCTATTGTTTTTCTTATTATTTGCCTCCCCTCTCCCTAGATTTTCCTATTAATATCACAGGAACAAATGAGAGTCCTATCAGTGGAAGATAGC